AAATACTCCTGCCTCAGCCTCCCAAGCCACTGGGATTACAGAAGAGCACCACTGCTCCCAGCTTGCCATTGCTCCCTTCTAACACCATCACCTTTTCTTTATTTCAAAAAGTATTAGCCAGATTCTTGGGAGTATCAGTGCATATTCCCCTAGGAACCTATATGCAAATGTGGCTGACCATATTTTCCAAGAATGGTGACAGCAATGTTTCCTCTCCTACAATCTTCTAGAACCCTCCCTCACTCCATCAAGAGGCAGATCCCATTTACTCTCCCCTTGAACATGGGTGGGTCTCGATGACTGCTTCAATGAAGAGAAGTTTATGGAAATAATGGTGCATGACTTGTGAGACCTGGTCAAAGGAGATGTTTTCTTCCAGCTCCCTCTCTTGGAACACTCCATACTGTGAAGGAGCCCAAACCCACCTTCACAGAGAAATCACATCAAAAAATCTACATGGAGAACAGAGACCCTGATCAAAATCCAGCATTAACCACTAGAAATGGGAGTCAACTACATGATGATACTAGCCCCCAACCTTAGAGTCTTTTAGCTGAGGCCCCAGACATCATGGTGTAACAAGACAAGCTGTCCCTGCTGCATTGGGTCCAAGCTCCAACCCATAGAATCCATGAGTGTAATGAATAGCCCTTTTTATCAGTCAGTTTGGAGATAATTTGCTGGACAGCCATAGTAACTAGAGCAGTGAACCAAGCATACAATGTTCATGAACCTTCCAAAATCCCTTCAATACCTCAGCATCTGTGGACTTGCTGTGACACTGTAGCCACATGTAGATGCTGTAGGGTAAACACGAGGGTGGTTTTCTGCCATAACCCTCTCAGACAGAAAATACTCAATATGACTGTATACCATGGATAAAATAAAACTGATCCAATGTTGACCATTTCTAACCCTGATGATGAACTTGTTAGAACTCTGTTCTTGGCATTGGTAATTTTTAGTCCCTTCCTCCTCCCCTTTTGGGAGCTGCAGATTGAACCCAGAGCCCTACATATGCTAGGCAAGCACTCTACCATTGAGCTATATACCTAGGCCTTTTTATTTTGAGACAGGGCTAAATTACCCAGGCTGGCCTCAAATGTGCAATTTTCTTGCCCCAGCCTCCACAGTAGTGGGGGTTACACACTTGTCTCCTCTCCCCTTTTTCTAAAGAAACAAGAACAAGTACACGAGGAATGGGGGTCTGAATCAGCCTACACCCCTGGGCCTTATCACCTCTAGTTTTATGCCTTCCTTTAAGTCATAGGCATCCAGTTCATAGATATCCAATTCCTAGATAGTACTCCAATTCATCAACCTCCAGTCCTTATTGCTTAATCTGCTAAAAATAAAATTTGCTGAAATTGATGAGCCAAATACCCCATCATAGTGGCACCATCAGCCACACCCCTTCCAATAATCCCAAATCATCACAATCTCTATGAACATCACTATGGTCATAATCTTTCATACAACCAAATGGTACATATACTCCTATGAAAGTGTTACTACAAACAACTTCAGAATGCCCTGTAGTTCTTGTCTATTTGTGGCCATTTCACCCTGGGTACACTGAGGCAGAGGTCAAGAGAAGGATCTATGCCAGAGGTAGTTTATGTGGAAAGTGATCCCAGGGAGCCAGAATGAAGGAGGAAGGAGAATGAGACCCAGAAGAGGGAAGAAATCAATATCAAGGTGCATTTTCTATGTTGCTACTCTGGGTCTTAGAGTTTGATTGCATGAAACTTCCTGAGAAAACATGGAATTTCTCCTCGCCTGATTTGTTGCGCACTTACTGTGCTAGGTACTTGGCAAACACTGTCTCAGTCATCACAACATTGAGAGGTAGATTTTAATAAACCCAATTCCCCCATACCATACCTTTTTTTTTTTTTTTGAAGTGCTGGAGTTCAAACCCAGGGTCTCCTACGTTCTAGATAAGTGCTCCAATACTATGCTTGAAGGCCACCTCCATTTTATAGATGAGAAAACTGAGATTTGAAAAGCTTAAGCTGCCCAAGTCATGAAGTGAGGTCACATCCCACCCCCTAACTTCAAAATCCTTTTCCATTTTACAACAGGGTCAGCTGTTAAAGAGTGGGCAATTCCAGTGGGTTCTCTCAGAAGCTCTTAGCAAATGCAAAAATATCCTTTGGCCTCAAGTCAAAATGCCTTTCAGGCAAGAATCTTACTTGGACAATAGAGAATTGTCTGGCAAACTCAGCCCCATGGCTCCACGTTCCCTGGAACCCTGATAAGCTTCTCTGGCCCATATTATGTGTGTGATTATGTAGCTGACAAGAGTTCACAGAAATATTTGGAGTAGCAAAAACACAGACCAATGGCCAAACTGAGGACCTAACACTGAGTGTTAGGTCTTTTAAAGAAACCCTGGCAGCAAGAAGAGTCTCTCCCAGCCCATGGTTGTCGCCTTCCTTCATCAGTCCTATTCTTAGTTTGAGGTATCTCAGTTGTCACCAAAGAGAACTCTCCACCAGCGGAATAATTACAGTGGCCCAGAATAGCACATTTGAGGCTTACAAGAAGAGAGAGCGGGCAGGCGCTGCTGGATGGGTGAGTGAGACAAGGTATTTCTGAGTACTGAGGATCCTGAGTCCACTTGCAAGAGGGCCCTCATTTTTACTTACAGCAAAGGTCAGAATAATCAGATCTGTTGCAAGGACAATGCTGTGGGAGAGGAGAGGCAAGTTTGAAGCCAAAGAAACGTTTCTTCAGATTCCTTCTGCTATATTGGAAAAGTGCAAGTTGCTATGTGATCTTGTAGCTATAAAATGAATATATTTCTCATTATTAAAAAATTCAGGATTGCATCAAATATAGAACAGAAAGCAGAAATCACTAGTAAATCCATGATCCAAAGCTCAGAGCTACATGCATAATTTGCTTTTTGGTGTTTTTCTGACTTCAACAACCACTATTTGCTATCTAACACTTCATCTTGCCCTTCCTTTAGGAAAAGTCCCCCCAAACTTCCTTTGGGAAATATTCTCCCCCCCCCCATTCCCCACCCCAGGTTCTCAGGCTAGGGGTTTAGGGATTGTTGGGTCTTCAATGCCTTAAGGATCATAGCCCATTGCCCTGACCAAGGAATTTGTACAGGCATGGTCATGTGACCCAAGCCAGTGCAACCAGGGTAGAGTGTGTCTCTTTCTCTGGGACAATGAAAACAAGACACCATTTACTTCCCACTGGATGGGAATGAGGACACAGCCCAGGCAGGGTTTGCCACATGTTAGGATGGTGAAAGATGAAGAAACTCCATGCTAAGAGCCACAGCCAAGTAATATGATGCATGGCACTTTTGGCTGAAAGGTGACGCTAGCTAGCCATTGAGATGATATGATTATGTTAAGATTTGCATTCATATGGATATTGGACTCCTGCTGTTCACCTCGGCCTGCTACGGGACTCCTGGAGAGTTCCCATTGGTTGGGGAAGTACAGTAGGAGGGAATTCCGGGGGAGGAACTTGTTCTGGGGTTCCAGGAGAACCCGGCCGCGTGGGTGGACCGGCTTCTTCCCGGACATATATGGGGTATTGGCGGCATTTTCAAAAATAAAGTTTGTTCCTGCTTGAGTGGCTCGTGATTTTGTGCCCAGCCAGACTGCGGCAACTCCACATAATGCAGAAGAAAGAGACAGAAAGAAACCAGTTCTTCCAGGACATTACTGAGCCCCTGGAAGCCCCTACCCAGTTTCATGATCAGTTACTTAATTTGACATTCAATCAGATTTGAGATGGGTTTTCAGTTACAAGCCACTGGGAAAACATTTTGAATAGTATTGGTTCCCTTGGACATGTTTCTGGCATCTCCCACCACCCCACCCAACTTACCCCCACCCATATAGTTTTAGGAAAAACAGGTTTTGTAATATCTTTTTTATGCCAAAAAATACAGGTCTACTTACATAATGATTTTTTTTTTTTTACAGTACTAGGGACTGAACCCAGAGCCTCTCCTTCTAGGCAAGTGACCTACCCACTGAGCTACACCCTAGCCCTTTTCATTTTTTTGACAGGGTCTCACCAAGTTGCCCAGGCTGACCTAGAACTTGTGATCCTCTTGCCTCAGCCTACCAAGTAGCTGGGATTACAGGCCTATGCCACTGCACCCAGCAACCTAATGATTTCTAATGTCCTTCTTGTCACCTGTATCTCTACTTAGAAGTCTCCTCCTATATCTGGCTTTTTCTGACTTACAATTTGAAGTAACTCCACCTCATCCTTTATCATATGAAGGTGATATATGAATGGAGTTTTGCAGTTTTATGTATTCTTGTATCTTTAATTTTTTTCTTTGTATTCTTCTTCTCACTTGTCTGTTTTCCTGGATTTTCTTTCCACCTTTTCTCTAACCAACAGCCAATCTCTGGTGGTTCCTCTTCCACTCTGCCTGTGAACTTTTACTTCTAGATTCTCTCTTCCTCCCTTATGAACATCACGTACTATGCTTATTTCAGTTTTCTCATCCACCATTTGAAATTATAAACCATTTTAGCAAATTTTCTGTTTATATTGTAGTCAATTTTTGAACTCATCATTTTGGTTTATTGTGAGAAAGCAGTAGATGCCTTAATGGGAGCTATTAGGTTAAAGCTATATATTATTTATACTGGGTGCAGTTGATATTGGTCTCACCCTTAAAGGCGAGGCACTAGAAACCTTCGGGGACACTATAGATCTGCAGGGTGTAATTTGTGCTGACTTAGATCCATACTGCTCGGTGGGAAAACACACGAACAACATGAAAAAACAAGGGAATTAAGCACCCCAAACAAACCAAGATGCTCCAACAACAGAATTCACTGACAACACAGTAGAAAAAGTGTCCAAGAAGGAGTTCAGAATGTACATAGGTAAACTGACCCATGAAATAAAGGATAGTATACAGACTGAAATCAAAGAAAAAAACACAGGCAGTGGAAGATAGCTTCAATAAAGAGTTAGAGATTGTGAAAAAATAACCAAGCAGAAATGCTCAAAATGAAGGAATCAATAAACCAAATTATAAATTCAATAGAAAGCATCACCAACAGACTAGACCACTTGGAAGACAGAACCTCAGGCAATGAAGACAAAAAATATTATCTTGAAAATAGAGTTGACCATGCAGAGAAGATGGTAAAAAAAACATGAACAGAATATCCAAGAATTATGGGGGTAACATGAAAAGACCAAATTTAGGAGTTATTGGAATAGGTGAAGGAGCAGAGATACAAACCAAAGGAATGCACAATCTTTTCAATGATATAATATCAGAAAATCTCCCAAACCTAAAGAATGGAATAGAAAATCAAATACAAGAGGCTTACAGGGCCCCAAATGTACAAAATTACAGCAGACCCACACCAAGGCACATTATAATGAGAATGACTAACACAGAGAATAAAGATAAAAATCTTAAAGGCCAGGAAAGATAAAAATCAAATTACATATAAGGGGAAACCAATTTGAATTTCAACTGATTTCTCAACCCAGACCCTCAAAGCTAGGAGGTCCTGGAATAATATATTTCAAGCTCTGAAAGAAAATAGAAGCCAACCAAGAATTTTATATCCAGCAAAATTAAGTTTCAGATTTGAAGATGGAATTAAAACCTTCCATGATAAACAAAAATTAAAAGAATTTACAACTATATCTGACTTTTTCTGACCTATAATTTAAAGTAGCTCCACCCCCAGTCACCCTTTATCATATGACCCTTTTAATCTTCATAACAGCACAGTATAAACAGTACAAATGACCCAACATATGTCTTTACTTATCTATTTATTCTGTGTCTCCAACCTCTAAAATGCAACTTCTGCTGAAAAAGAGGTGATCTGTAGCTCTAGATTTTACATCAGTATTAAATACTGTATTGAATACAAAGTAGGTTCTCATTAAATGCTTGGTGAATAAATTATTATTTCATGGGTCTACCATAATTTATTTAAAACAAATCCCTATTGTGGAACATGTAGGTTGCTTCCAAGCTTTGGTTCAGAGAAACAGCTCTGTGACATCTGTATACATTTAGTTATCATTTCATTAGGATAAATTCTTGAAATGGAACTGTGGATCAAAGGTAAATATATTTTTATATATATTACTAGGTTTTCCAGCAGCAAATCTATACCAATTTATACTTTCAAACTGCAAAGCATTAAGACTTAAGTTCTTTCTCCATATTCTTTCCTATAGATAAAAATAATATCTCATTTTCTTGTTGTTATTAATGGATTTGAATCTTTTCATTATTAACTTTTCATTATTTCATTAAAGCTAAGTTTTCCATGCTGGCTTCAAATTTATAATTCTCCTGCCTCAGACTACCTACTAGCTGGGATTATATATAGTCAGTCACTGCCATGATGGTACCTGGCCTTTGCCTATTTTTCTATTTGGCTTTCAGTTTTTCTTATTGATTTTATCTTGGTCTATTTTCTATTCTATAACTGAATACCAGAGACTGGGTAATTTATGCATAATAAAAATTATTCAGCTCACAATTTTGGAGTCTGAGAAATCCAAGGTTATGGGGCCACATACAGTGAAGGCCTTCTTGATCCTGGGAATTCTCTGCAGAATCTTGAGGGCACAAGGCATCATATAGCCAGAAAGATGCATAAGAGAGACAGAACCAAAGAGGTTATTATACTAGACCCACTCTGGAGATAACCCATTAACCCATTAATCCATGGAATAATTAATCCCTTCATGTGGCCCAGCCCTCATGACCTGATCACCTACTAAGGGTCCCCTTTCTTATAATGCAGATTAAGTTTCAACATGAGTTTCCATGGAGACATTCAAACCATAGGAGATTTGAACAAAGGATTTTTTTTTAAATAGAACAAGTTGAGATTAATAATCAGACGTTTCTATTATCTCAATATTCAGAAATCTGGATCAGAACTTTCAATATTCATTTCAAATTCAGTTGATTTTGAAGTTCAAAATCCAGTTGATTTCTGGTCCTTTTCTTGCTGGTGAGCTTCTCAGAGGGGGAAATAAGGGGGAGCCTAAGGTGGCACGGGCTGAGAGGCTGCACCTGATGACCAGTGACAAGGTAGACATGGTCACACAGTCAGGCAGCAGAATGGGTGGTGCTCAAGTTAGACTTTGTGGAGATTTGGGCATGGGCTAGCTGGTCATGCTGCCCCACAGAACTGGTACGATGGCTTGCCTTCTAAAATTATTGGATTCTTGTAAGCCAGAAAGTTCTAGATTTGGTGAAAAGAAGTCTTACTGGAATCATCATCATCATCTTGACCACCAGAAATTACCTCCCACCCTCCCCACTGGGCCAATTTCTAGGCGACTGTGGATGGGACAACACAGAGTAACCAGACTTTGGGGGATTACTGATCACTGGCTTTGACTGGACACTACCTTGTTGAGACATAAAATGCTACTACTGTCTACTAGTTACAGGGGGCCTGTCAAGGTCAGGAGATCACTGAGTTTCAGGTCTATATCACTTTAGCTCTTTAGGTTCCGGAACCCACCTGTGATTATTTCCTCATTTTGGAAATGAATAAGGAACAGAACAACACAGCAACTGACAGAATCCCCACATCCCCCCATAGTACTATATCTATCTTTATCTACTTACCTGTCTATCCATCCATCCATTCACTCATCTTTCTACTTCACATACTACTACCACTATAATTAATGATCAGAAAATAATCACTCAAGGCACACTCTGGTGACAGGAAGAATAGTGACAGTTAACACCTATTGAGCTCTAGGTACCAGACACTGGTCTGAGCTCTTTATATTGTTATATTCACTTGCTCCTCATGACACAAAGATCCCGAGGGACCTCCATTTACTCATTTCTGTGGTCCTGCTAGCCAGGCCCTCAATAAGTGCCTGCTACAGGAAGGACCTAGGATTGGTGTGTCTGATGGATGACATTCTTTTTAAAGGAACTTTCCCCAAACAAGAGCTTTGGGCTTCCTTCCCTGGAATTTCTCTCCCCTTCTACGCTAATGCGTTGTTTGTTGACCCTCTGGCCTATTGATTCAAAGTGCCTGATGCCTAATTACAGGGAGAAATCTGTTTGGACACAGTTCTTCAGGATGGTCCCCAGCATTTTGGTTTTAAAATGCTGCTATATCCTCACTAGCTTCATAAATAGCAGCTCTGGGTAAGAGACAACCAGCCCCATCTTGTCCCTCTGAGCCTTCCCACCAGCATCCCACCCTGTCACTTATGCCCCTTCAGGGCCACAGTGACCCAGGAGCAGCTTTGCTTTCCACTGACCTCCAAATACCTGGCACTCAAACATGCAGAGAAAGATGCTCTAATTTGTCCTAAAAGAGCATTTAACCATTAACCATTAACTTGTTTGGTTGTCATTTGTGTTTTGAATCTTCCCTCTCCTGAAATTCTTGATCATTCTACAATGTTCAAAGAATTCAGAAGATGGTAATAGTCAAAATAATGCGTTTCAAGTTTTTAAATATTATGCAAAGTGACAGAAGCCAGACATAAAATATATACACTGTATACTTTCATTTTCCTGAAACATCCAGAATAGGCAAATCTGTAGGGACAGAAGATGGATTAGTTGTTGACAGGAACTGGGGGATGGAGGTCTGGGGAGTAACTGGGTACAGTTCCTAACTTAAGGGGTGCAGGGCTTCCTTTTGAGGTTATGAAAATGTCACAGAACTATACACAGGTGACGGTTGCCTAATATTGTAAATGTACCAAATGCCATTGAATTATATATTTTAAAATAGGTACTGGCTAACTTTATATTATGTAATTTTTTAGCTCATTTTTTTAATAAGAGATAAGATTTTGCATCTAGTTTTTTATTTTTTTTTAAGTCTTGTTTGTTGAGTACCTTCTCTGTGCCTGTGCTCTGTTAAACCTGCACTGTAACCTGTAATTCTCACAATCAACCTTTTGAGATAGGTGCAGTTTGTATACTTAGTTTACAAGTGAGGAAATGGAGCCGGGTGTGTGGTGCATGCCTGTAATTCCAGCAGCTCTGGAGGCTAAGCCAGGAAGATCATGAGTTCAAAGCCAGCCTCAGCAACTTAGTGAGGGCCTAAGCAACTTAGCAGGACCCTGTCTCAAAATAAAATGTAAAAAGGGCTGGGGGTGTAGCTCAGTGGATAAGCACCCCTGGGTTCAACTCCTAGTACAAAAAAGAAAGAAAGAAAGAAAGAAAGAGATCTGAGGCACAGTAAGTTAGGTTACATAATTAGGCCCAAGTCACATCAGCAGCAGTTTTCAGAGAAGGATTCATGCATGGGGAGACTGTGGTGGGGCCAGCATTCTGTATCACTGGTCATTTGCTCCCTTATGAGGGATTCTGTTCCCTCAGCATCCTCAGAGGAGAAAGGAAGCCAGATATATTGGTGACAGGGACAGGGCCAATATTTTTATCACTCTGGGCCAGCTCCTAACTTAGAGTCTTCATTTAATTCTCACTACTACACCTTGTGGAGAGAACTACTGATATTCCTATTTTGCAGATGAAGAGCTAAGACCCAGAAAGTTTGGTCAACTTACCCCATAGGACCCTTGAAGAACTGAAGCCAGACTGGCTGAGATGACAGCCTTGATCTGAGCAAGAATAAAGCTTTGTCTTAGCTTCTCTCACAAGACTTTTTCTTCTTGTCCATCAACTATCTAGGCAGATAATGAGAAAGCAATGAATAGGACAAGGCTCTCGCCTCCCCTCTCATCCCACAGAAGGAGCACTGCCATTCTTTGACATGACCCCTTTGCAGGCCTGTTAGTCCAAATGCAGAAGACCACACATTGGCTTCCTTCCACCTCTGTCACACACATGTCTATTAACAAAGAAATATGGATTGATTCATCACATGTTAATGAACTGAGGTCTTAAGGGGATTACGGGTATGGGAATAAGTCTGACAGCTGAGCCTAAAACTATTATCTGATTTCCTGTTAATGCATACTACATTATATTTCTTTAGAGAATTTTCAGAATGCATTTCCTTAGACCAAGTCTATAAATTCAACCTCTGCTAACAAAAGGGACAACAAGAACTCAGAAACTTCATTTGGCAAGATCCAATTCCCCAATATTGGTGGGGGGAACTTCTTTGGCCTTTATTTAGCACAGCTTTGGGAAATAATTTTCAAAACCACAAAAATATACACTGTTTCCTTGCCATCTCTGTGAGATTGGTTCTAGGACCTGCTGCAGGTACCCAAATATGCAGATACTCAGGTCCCTTGTGTAAAATTGCATAAAAATTGCAGAGTACCTATGCACATCCTCTCATATATTTTAAATAAGCTCTGGATTGCTTTGATACCTAATATATGTAAGTGCTATGGAAATAGTTGTTATATTGCATTGGGTTTTTAATTGGTATTGGATTTTATTTTATTTTTTCCTAAATATTTTCCATCATGGTTGGTTGAATCTGAGGATGGAGAGCCTATGGTTACAGAGTGATCTGTATCTGCCACCCACCCCAAAATTTCTTTTTTTTTTTTGGTAGGGAGAGGGGTAGGTACCAGGGATTAAACTCAGGGGCATTTGACCACTGAGCCACATCCCCAGCCCTATTTTGTACTTTATTTAGAGACAAGGTCTCACTGAGTTGCTTAACACCTCACTTTTGCTGAGGCTTTTTCTTTGAATTCGTAATCTTTCTGCCTCAGCCTCCCAAGTCACTGGGTACAGGTGTGTGCTGGCCTAAATTTCTATTTCTTTTCTTTTCTTTTTTTTTAGTTTTATTGATTATATTTTTTTAAATACACGACAGCAGAATGCATTACAATTCTTATTACACATATTGAGTACAATTTTTCATATCTTTGTATATACAGTATGTTCATGACAATTCATGCCTTTATACATGTACTTTGTTTTTAATTTTTAGTTTTTTGCATTACAATTCTTACTACACATATATACCACGACTTTTCAAATCTCTGTTTGTATATAAAGTATGTTGACACCCAATTCAAGTCTTCATACATGTACTTTGGATAATGATGTCCATCACATTCCACCATCCTTACTAATCCGCTGCCCCCCCTTTTCCTCCCATCCCTCTTCCCTATCTAGAATTCATCTAATCCTCCCACATTCCCCATCCCTACCCCACTATGAGTCAGCCTCCTTATATCCGAGAAAACATTAGGCATTTGTTTTTTGGGGATTGGCTAAATTCACTTAGCATTATCTTTTCCAATGCCATCCATTTACCTGCAAATGCCATGATTTTATTCTGTTTTAATGCTATTTCTTATTCTACCCCATTTAAACTTCAATAGCCAGAGAAAACAGGACTTGAAAAGTTATAGTCATTGGTTCCCAAGAGAGCCAGGTGCAAGTTCTGACCCATCTTGTAAAGTTAGCTGCAAACCCTCCCAGGGAGCTGCATACATCTTCCAAAGGCTGACTGCCTGTGTGCATAGACACAGCATGGTGCTTGGGACTGCATGGGGAAAGAGGAAGCAAGGTTGCAAACCCACCACCCTCACATGTCTACAAAGGTTAGTAAGTGAAGCTGGACAGGTTATCTGTACAGGGCATCAGCCTCGCAGCTTCAGCTTATGGTTGTCATACGAAGACTTATGCCCAGCATCATCAAATCTGCCATTACAAAACAAAAAACACAATCCCCCCAAATCTGGACTTGATATAAAATCTACTAATTTTTTCTAAAAAATGTATTGTCCCATGTAGGCCAAATAATACATGTTTATAAGCTAGATAAACTCCAGGGGTTTTGCCAGTTTGCAAATTCAGCTCTTAAAAGGTGTTTTAAGAATGTTTTAAACAGCTGGACACAGATTACATGCCTGTAATCCCAGAGAATAGGGAGGCTGAAGCAGGAGGTTTGTGAGTTCAAAGCTAGCCTCAGCAACTTAGTTAGGCCCTAAGAAACTCGGGAGACCCTGTCTCTAAATAAAAATACAAAAAAGGGCTGGGGATGTGGCTCGGTGGTTAAGTGCCCCTGGGTTCAATCTCTGGTACCAAAAAAAAAGAAGAAGAAAAAGAATGTTTTAAGTAGGAAACCATATAACATAGTCAACAAACTATTTCAGAAGATTCTCTGGGAGGGAACTCTAGATGGAGAAAAGGAACACTGAACCCAGAAGCAAGAAACTTTGTTTTGAACCCGAACTTATTAGCTGAAGGGTCCTGAGCAAGCTACGGAACAAAGCTGTGAATGACTTATAGAATGGTTAGAGTTTCACCAGCCACATGTACTCTGCAGGGCTACTTCAAAGAACAAACCAATCAATTCAAGAAATCTCCTATACTCCAATTATGCAAATAGAAGAATTTACAGTGTAAACTCCTTGAGGCAGAGAGTCGATCACAATCAGAACACAGTGCCTATTTGCACAGAGGCACTCAATAAATATTTTTAATTGACTTAATATGCCTTCCTGTTATAATCCAAATTTAGAGAATTAATGTTTTTTATGACCTACAAAATAGTTTTCAAGATTATTAAGCATTCTGACTCACATAATGACTCACATAATAACTATGGATCAAAGTTCCTAGACTCAGTGAAATTACATGTTAATGTGTAGATTTTTGTCTGAGAGAGATGCAAATCATTTCTCTCTGGTGAAAAAGATATCTACAAAGATTATAATTTATTATTTTGTAGGATATTAGCCCAATTTCGTATTTAACTCAGAATTCTTATCTTAATATTCATTAATCAGATTGCTTTTATTACCCTCTTCCTTAAACATTCTTTAAACCATCTTAAGATCTTCCCAATTCCCTCATTCAATCACAGGCTGAATAAGTCACACGCATTCATTTTATAGTTGCATGAGAATCATAATTCCACAGTTTTGAAGACTATTCTTGAATGCTACCCTATCTTTTCCTCATCAAACATATAAATACAGTTACTACCTTCTTTGATGGAGTGCAAAAAAAAGAGTGGGAAGCCAATTTGATCACTGATAACTAGAATACTAGAGGACACAGGTAAGAAGCTATGAGAAATTAAGGAAGGACTTGGTGTTAAATTGGGGGAGTCAGAGAAGGCATCAGAAAATATGGCACGTTAGCTGCACCTGTAAGGAAGAGTAAGGTGTTGGTAGATGAGGAGGGCTACTCCCAACAGAGAACAGAATTCTAGGAATGTGTTGGGATCAAGTACTTTCATATCATTGGAACATACATGGGTTTTGCAGGAGAAAGTTGCCTGATGCATTAGTCAGCCTTTTATCACTGTGACCCAAATACTTGACAATAACAACTTCATGGTTTCAGAGTTTTCAGTCCATGGTCAGTTGACTGCTTTGCTCTGGGCTTGAGGTGAGGCAGAATATCAGGATGGAAGGGTGCAGTGCAGGAAAGCTGCTCAGTTCATGGTGGTCAGGAAGCAGAGACAGGGAGAAGCCAGGGGCAAGATAAAAGGCACCCTCCCCAGTGACCTACCTCCTCTGACCATGCCCACCTACCTATAGTTACCACCCAAGTAGTACATTCACATTATTCAGCAAATAGATTAACCCACCAATGCAGTTACAGCTCTCATAATCCAATCTTTCAGCTCCCACTAGTGCTGCATTGCCTAACACATGAGTCTTTCAGGGGACATTCTTAGATCCAAAACATAGCACTTGGAAAAGGATCGGGGTGTCTTTGGATCCATTGTTACATAACAAACTACTCCAAAACTCCGTGAATTAAAATGACACTTACTTATTATTTCTCATACACCTGTAGGTAGGCTGATCTAGGCTGGACTCGACTGGAGTGTTTCTGCTCTACATTTGCCTCGTCCTACTCTGATGCCCTAAGCTTGCCTGGGAAATTTTCTCTCATGGAATGGCATTAGGTGCAAGAGAACAAGTCACAGATGCTGTAGTTTGGATCTTGAATATCCCTTAAAGGCCCAGGAGTAAAAGGCTTGGTCCACTGGGTGGCACTATTGGGAGGTGGTGGAAACTTTATTTGATGAGGCCTAGTGAGAAGTCTTTGGGTCATTGGGGGCTGTGCCCTGGAAGCAGGTTACAGGACCCCTGCCCACTTCTCACTTTCTTGTGCTCCCAGGCTGAGGTGAGCAGTTTTCCCCCTGCCATGTGCTCCTGCCATCATGGCTGACTTGCCACTGGCCCAAAAGCAACAGGGCCAAAGGATCATGAACTGGAACCTTGAAAAACAAGAGCCAAAATAAACCTTTCGTCTCTTTAAAATAATCTCTCAGATATTTATTACAGTAGTAGAAAGTTGATTAACAACCATGGTCAATCCAAAGGCAAGTGATGGGGAATTATATTCTGACTTTTTAGTGGGAAAAACTGTAAAGTCACATGGCAAAGGACATAGCACAAAGAAGGGTGAAGAATTGAAGCCAATGATGCAATCTACTTAGGGACAGACAGCAGAAGCCTTAATACTATAGTAAAGAATTAAACTTGGTTCAAGGCAAGGGGAAGCCATCAATGTTTTTAAGCAGAAGGAAAGCATTCTCAGATCTATGTTAGAAAGATGATTCTGTATGCTCCCTGGGTGGAGCATTAGGGAGTTTAGAACCACTTGAATTAGAGTAGTGGCTGTGGGAAAAGGGACAGAGGGACAATTTAAAATAGTGATCAAATAGACTAAAGCGGGCCATCATTTGAAGAAAGAGTAAGAA